TTTCTCTCCATATGTGGTCAGCCATGCTTGATTTTTCCACTTCCCTTTATGTTACAGCTTTTGGGTGTTCTTGAAGCCTTACCTTAAGGGGGGGTGGCCTGTCTCCCCTTTATATTTCTTTCTGCAGCTGCATGGGATAGCATACACACAGTCTTTAGTCATGTTCTCCTCTATTCTTACTTAGGAGAGGTATTTGCAAAGTGTCATCAAGCTTTTGAAGGTTGTCCTGATGTCATATATACTGCAGATCCTTTGTATTTTCTCCAATAACCCCTTCACATAAGCCAGGCAGGCTGTTTTCTGAGTGTTGTCCTCCTCTTGTACCCGGCTATCCCAGTTTATTGGTGCTGCTGACATGTACCCAGGGTAGTAGTTATGTTGTAGGGTACTGCTTATACTGACCAATTCTTAATCTAATGTCTCTGGGTTGCCACTTATTACTTTTGTTCAGTATTGTAAGTAGCAGATGATCCCTTTCTTTACGCTGTATGGCTGGTGGGAGTTAAAATTGAGGTACTGTTCAGTGAATGTCGATTTGTGGTATATGGATGTCTTGAACCCATGCTCTGTTCTAGATATTAGAACATCCAGTTCAGTTCAACATTCTAACCACCTGAAGAAGGCTGAAGTGTACAACGGCTGAAACGTTGTGATAAAAATGGCAACGAAGATGATAGTCCGAGCAAATGTAAATAGGGATGAAGGATTTGTTGGTAGCACATCTGTTGTTTTTTTTTACAGCATTATGTCTATGAAATTATATATGAATTTTTACATATATATATATGTTTCATCAAAAACAACCAACAAAGTGCTGTGGTTAAGTTTTTTTATTCAATTTTTCTTGTGTTCTTATAATTTTCTTCTTTTCTGGACATAAATTATATAGAAATTATCCAAATGTTTTGCTTGCCTGAGTGCTTTCAGCTATACTTTTAGCCATTATCAAGGATGAATTTTATTTTTTACTTTTAACTGAAAGTATGGATTGTTTTATGTATGTATCTAAAGCTGTAGGAATGTTTTATTTTCCAAACATGATCAGCACATTATGGCCATGTTCATAGTTCATATTATTGAGTGTTGAACAATTACTACATGATTTATGTCCAGAAAAGAAGAAAATTATAACACAAGAAAAATTAAATAAGAGCTTGACCACAGTACATTGTCAGTTGTTTTTAATGAAACTTGTATAAATAGAGTGATTGCTGCCCAAATACATAATACACACACACACACACACACACACACACACACACACACACACACACACACACAAAACCCCAAAAAACACAAGCACACACATCTATATATTTATTATATATTCATGTTTATTCTTATGAAGACACTTTTTATATGACAGGAAAAAGATGAGACTGAGGAAGATTTCTTGATGACTGCTCTTACTTTTTTGGTTTTAACTGTTTACATGCATATCTGAAACTCAGATTATCAGGCAGACTGGCTCCTTGATATGGTTTTCTTTTTATTATATGTGGTGCATATATATGTATGTGAATACTTAACAGAAAATTTTCTTAATAATTTTCTTTTTCTCATATTGTTTCACATTCAGTAACCCCTTGCATCTTAGTGGCTTTTTTACTTTGCTTGTGGTGAATTGACTGCTCAGCTCAATTTGAATGTGCATTACTTGGAGAGTATAAAATGTCTAATAACTTACATGTTTAAAAGTAGAAACTTGCAGGTCAATAATTTGATATATGTTTTAAATGCTATGTCATTTTTATTTCTTTCTTAAATTAAAAGTTAATTAATTTTTATTTTAAGTTGATATCCACTCAGTCGGGATATCATATCTTATTAATAATTTTTGTTAAAATATGGTTTTTATTGTGTTTAAATTTGATTAATTAATAGAATATGTGTGCTCTATAATTTGAATCTAATTTGTTCATTTTACCAAATCTTAATTTCTATAAATTTTTTAAATTTGATCCTCACTGGGTACCCCATACTTTCGGCCTTGTGCCACATCTTAGCTCCACTTAGAAAATCACCATACTACAAGGATACATATTTGATTAATACAATATTTGATATTCCCTATTAAGTTATCATTAAATTATTTTAAATGTTAAAATGGACTCCTTAACATTCTATAACCTTCATCAGTCTTTCAGACATGGAGTTTTGATACCAACATTATTTGCTGCAGTTTTTATTGCTTCTCAAAGATCTTTGTTGATTGAATATACTGATTTCCATTCTTGTCTACATCTCTTTTAATGGTGAACCACAACTTACTATTAGATTAAGATTTGGAGAAGCTGGAGTTTATTCCATTAATTTGGTGTGTTTGAAACTTGTTTTGTCAAGGTAGGCAATAGTCCTCTTCTTCTATGTGCCATGTCTCTTCAAGATGTTGATGATCATAGCTCTCCACAATTTTCCATCTTTTGTAGCACTTCATAAATTTTGTCTTTTTGCTATCTCTCCTAAACCTCATTCTGCCATCCATTTACACAAGCTCATTAGGTAGGTTATATGCTTTTTTCTTCTATCCCTCTTACTTTCAATATATCCTGTGAATGTCAAATTTTTCAGTCCCTCTTTCCTTATTATGTACTCTAGAAATTTCAACAATCTCTTTCTGATGTTAAATAAAAGTGTACTTTTTGTTTCCATTTTCTCTAAAACTTTGTCATTGGTCTTGCCTTCAATATGTCCTGTGAGTATTCAGTTTTCCAGACTGGCATCATTTTAACTATTGCATATTATATTGAGTCCTTTACATATTTGTATGTATTTGACAAGATATTTGCACCATTTAGTCAGCTGGGCATTCAAATTACTTCCACTTTTTTTTTATTAACTTTTGACACAAATTTCTTTCATTTTTAATTTTAGTTGCTTTTCATTGCAACTACTCAAACCATATGTCTAAAGCAACTAAAATTAAGATTAAATAAATATTGACAGAAAATTAATGGCTGACAGTGCTTCCTCTAATAAAATATTTCAAGATGACTTCCTCTTTTTTATTAGTTGCAGATATTTTTCTATTTTCTTATTTCATATTTTATAAAGTGTCAAGTTCAACCAAAACTCATTTCCAGTTTCTACATCTGTCAAAGATTTATTTGCCAAATATTGGCTGTTGTGTGTTTGTACAAATAATTTATCAATCTTTATCTGCATTGATTCATTTTCCTCTTTCAAAGGCATGAATCGCATAATAACTGCAACATGTGAAAATTAAGCTGTTACATTCATAATAATAATAATAAAATATTGTTCATAATGTAATGTTCATAATAGTATAAAATAACTTGTAATTCTCACAGAATTATCTAATCAAATGTGTGAAAATGGAAAAACAACCAATCATATTAACTGGGATTTTTTTAATACTATTGCTCACCCAATACAACGCCCAAGAGCCACTCAAGGTAGAGGATTACTGAATGAGATTATTGTAAGAGCAAAAGGGAGGAAGATCCTATAATTTAAGAGATTAAAATTGTAGTGGCCAGGGAAATATCCTTTCAGGAGTCTGTTTCAACCATATTCCCATTCAAAGCAGGAAGTACAGGACACATATTCAGTAGGGCATCATGGTGCACTTATTGCCATCACAACATAAGATAAAATGCCTCATTTGGGCTTATAACATGTTTGATTGGACACTGGAGGACTGGCAATGCTTGAACCATGGTCAGATGTCATCATTCCAGTTATTTTGGGCTTTTTTTTTTTTTACAGTAAGGTTCACCCTTTACAAGGCCCAGGGGCCATTTGAGGTAGAGGGTTATGTTAGGAGGCCCATTTGTGTGAATAGGAGTGTAGGAGATAATGATTAACCCCAGCCTTGAACAGGTTAAGATTATAGTGATTGGGGAAACATCCTCTTAAGAGTTGGTTCCACAGGGCAGTGGTTTGCAGGAAGAAGATGCTCGAGTTGAACTTATTTCTAACTGATGGAATACGGAGGGAATGCGTGTGGTTTGCTACTATGTAAGTGGCATGTCATGTTCTTGCCATGAAGGTGCGACTTGGTGGGATCATGGAATATAGTTTGTCCAAGGTTAGGTGTGAGTTTGAGGCCCAACAGTCTTTCAAGTCATGGTGCCTTCCCCAAGAGGGACCTCTGTTCATCCTGACTAGTGGTAGTTGGGGTCAAATCGAAGATGATGGAATGTAACTAGCTTGGTTTTCAAGGCATTGAATGTAACCATTTAGTTTTTACCCCACTGGGTGGTTTGTGCTAGATCAGAAGAGAGATCAGTTGCCAATCTCTGACCATTGAGAGTTTTAGAGGTGCACCCATATATAGTCGTATGATCTGAGGGTATTTTTAGGCAGATCATTTATGTAGATCAGAAAGAGGGTTGGCACAAGGAGTAGGCCCTGGGGGATGCCTGTGTTGACATGCACTCTATGTACCCCTAATAATGGTGGATTTATTCCAGTAGAATAATGCATTGTTTCATTGATTTCCCAAATTTTCCATAATTGGTTTGAGGAGCATTCAGAAGACTTCCAATGAAGTGTGTGGCCACTTTGTTTATCTAACATGATTCTAATCAAATGGGACATACATGGGAAAGGAATGCTTGCACTCAAGATCCTGCATGTATAAATATCAGGGAGGTGTGTAGAGCTTTTGAAACAGCATGGGTGAACATGTCTTCAGAGGTCATCCATTGAATTGTAGATTTTCACCAGGATAAAGAGAGTACAGCATATCATAAGGCACCTGACCCATTACTTTTTGCACATCAGAGTGTGTATGTATGTGTCTGTGTACCTTTACACGTGAAAATTTGTGCCTAATAAAACTAGTGACAAATAATATTTAAATTCAAGCACAATCTAATTGATATTCCAATATAATTTGAAAATAAATAAATTTTATTTCATACTTTTGATATTCCTCCTCTCAAGAATCAAGACCTTTTAACAACCCTTTCCTCCCATCCTGAGAAGAGTTGATAAGTATACAGATTTCTTTTACTCTCTTTTCTTTTTTACAGAAACATAATTTTCATCGAAGACAAACTTTGGGTTATCAGAAGGGCTACAGTATCGCGAAGAGGCCAGAAGTTGGAATAGGTGGAGAGATTCTCCATTATAATCAGCTGAATGAGAAAGATCTTGATGAACTGGCAAACTTTCAACCAACTCTGACCTATGGACAAGCAAAACCAGTTGTTGCAAATGACTTTGTTCCTGCTCATGTTGCTTTAGATAAAAAGGTTAGTTAACAATTTCCTCCTTTCTTTTGTCAATTTTGTTGCAAAATAATTATTTTAACAATCAAAACTAATTCATAATTAATTGAAGTTAATTAACAATTGTTATGATACAAACCTTCGGGCAAGATAATATTGATTGTAGATAATATTGACGAAATTGTCAAATTCACAATTCTGGATCACATAGAAACTTTTATGCAATTTGAATATATATTCTTTTCACTATTATTCACCTAATACAAGGCCTAAGAGCCGTTCAAGATAGAGGGTTACTGAATGAGGTATTGTTTTAAGAGGAGGAAGTAAGAAGTGTTGATTATGAGGACATGTACGGAAGGAAATGGTTGATGCTATACTTGAAGAGGTTAAGATTGTAGTTATTGGAGAAATCATCCTCTTGGAGGTCTTTTCTACAAAGTAACAGTTCTTGTGAAGAAGTTGTCCAAATAGAAATTCCTTCATACCAATGGAATACTAAGGGAATGAGTATGATGCTTCACAGTATATGTGGCATGGTAGATATTAGCTGTAAAGATCTGAACTTTCTGAAACTAAGGAATGTAGCCCATCAGAAAATTTTCCATGGAAATATTGATAGAGTAGTGATAGGCTTGCAATGTTTTGTCCATGGGAAAGAGGCTGTAGAGAGGAAAATAATTCATCCCCTGTTATATGATGGTTTTAATTTGGCACAATTTCAAAATAGGTTTAAAACTGTTTTTGAGTTCATGGATGGACAATGTAATGGTTTCAGTGGGAACAAGTTAATTCTTCCAATGTCTATTACAACATTGTCAGTTGGACAGTAAGTCAGATTTTTTTTGCAGAGTGTGGAATCTGGAGCCATCTAAATTGAAGGCTCCAGATTTATTCACTTACTTTTAACATATTGTTTCTATTTGTTTTTATTCATTATTTTTTAAATCTCAGACAATGACAAGAGATCTTAAATAACAAAAATAAAAATACAAAAATAATTAATCAATAAAATCTATCTATTTACACTAATTATTTGTTCGGACTCTTGTCTTCATCTTTATTACCATATTCACAAAGTTTCAGTCGTTGTACACTCTGGCCTTCTTCAGGTGATATTTGTTGGAATTTTGAAATTAACTTTTTGTTTAGTCCAAGGAGGTAGATTGTTCTAATTCCATGTGCCATGCCTTTAGATATCTCCATTTCATTTAATTCTCCTTAGAAACTCAACTCTCCAAGTTTTTGTTTCCTTTGCTGCGGCCAGGTATTGAACTCACAACACTTTGAGACAAGTCACTTTTAGGATCAGCTCAACTAACACTTTTATTCACTGGCCATGTGTCCTTAGGGAAATAAAGGGCTTGCACAATGTAAATAGTGTAAATAGTTACAATATCTCATCTTAGAAATGTACACAAATAAAATGTATGTATACAACTTATCAAAAATCTTCTTGCTCAAATATTCACACTATAACTGATCGCCAGTCTCGATGAAAAAGTTATAAGTTTCGTACTGACGTTATCATTTTATTCAGGAAATACACCGAGAAACAAATATAACTCTCAAAAAGGGAAATGGATAAACAAAATGCATTTCAATGAAAACATTTTTCAAATAGAAACAACAATTTGGAACAAACTGAAAAAAATGATAAATGGACACATGGAATCTTCAAGGAGAATTTCAAACTTAGTAGTAGGGAGCAGAATTACTGTGTTGCCCTTTTACTAATGCTATCATGCTACTAATAAGTAGCGAAGTTTCTAAGCTTGGGGATCCCTTTGGCAACTGTTATAACCAACTTATCAGTAGTAAGCATCAATATTTACTCAGTTTAGTTAAGTCTGGCATAAGGGGTGCCCAAGTGAACAGAAAAATTATCTGACAATGGTCTGCTAGACTTGCTTACTAACCATAACTCTACAGGTCACTTTGATCACCTTAACTGACCAAACTCTCTGGGTTTGAATTGGCTGTGCTGCTCCCTGACATTTTGCTGCTTTAGCCATGAAATGTCACCACCCTACTGGTTGGGTGGGCAGGCAATTTTACTGATTCCAGCATCATCACAGGTTTTGAATTCAAGATTTCTACTAGACTGGTTGATAACCAAAACTAGAAAGCCCCGTCTGCATTGCTATTTAACCCATAATTGGAGGTTGTTGCGTGAAGAGATGGATTCATACCTTTCCCAAAGGCATTTTTGTGAAAGTGATCACAATGACCTTGGCTGGAATTTGAACTCAGCAACTGATCCCACTTTCCATGTTCTTAACCACTACATTTCACACTCCACAGGTGTGGCACTAAAATGAAGAAGCATTTAATGACTTTATATGAATGAGAATATCTATGTATTTAACAATCAGTGTTTTCCAGTCTGTGTCAACTTTTTGCATTTCAGCTTTTCTTTAGGAAATGTTCCTTTAAACAAATGTGGGTAACTGTTTCTTTAAAGAAATTGGTGACACCTTTACATAAATAAAAATCTATTTTCTCCAAAGATGACTAAAATGGTGAAGATAATAGTTTACTACCAATTGAATTATTTATTTCCTTATTTGCATAACTATTTTTATCATAAAAATTTAAATCTGTTTTTGGTTATTTTTTGGTTTTTAATATAATTTCCTTTATGTTACTGGAGCATAACTTTGCATTTATTCCTTTTGAAACACATAAAACATTCCCTTTTATGTTTCTTTTTTATGTGGAAGATTTTGGATATGACAACCCAAGTTTCTTGTCAGTTATCTGATATTGTTATATATATATATAAACAATCCAAGCTTGTAAAGCATTGACTGGATATAATTTATTTATTAGATTTATGTATGAATTGGAGCTGGCAGCTTTGTCTATTGTCTTCACAAAGACTGCTTGTTTCCTCACAGAACCAGATGGCCAGTCAGAGGTTAACATTGCACAGAATAACATTATGGATGTGTAGTATGGGTGATGTGTTTTGTAATGAAATAGGAGAAAAATATTAAAGGGAGATAACAAAAGAAGAAAAATGAGAAAGAGGGAAGTTAGAAAAAAACAAAAAAACAAACAAAAGCAGAATGTGAGAAAGAAAAAGAATAAAAAAATTGTGGGTGGTAAAGCAAGACAATAAAAATGAGAATACAAAAATATTAAAGCGAAAGGGTGAAAGAAAATATGCACAAAAGAGAAGAAAAATGGAATAAAAGAAAAGAGAAGTGAAAGAAAGAATTAGCTGAAAGAGAAAAATGGAGAAGAAATTAAAGATAAAAGGGAAAAGAAAAATAGATGGAAGAGAAAAAGAAAGAATTAAATAAAAGAGAAGAAAAAAGAAATATATAAAAACAAAAGGGAAAGAAATGAAAAAAAATGTGGAAAAGAATAAAACTAGATAAATGAGAAAAAAGTAAAAGAAATGAAACAGAAAAATTTGATGAAAAATTAAAGATGGAAAAGAAATGAAAGCTTGAAAGAATGAAAAAAGGAAGGAAAAGAAAGAATTAAATGATAAAAAAGAAGGAAATAAACTGAAAGGCGAGAGTAAAAGAAAACTGGATGACAAACGACAAGAAGGAAAATAAAATAAAATGTATAAGTAAGGATGAAATAAAAAAGAGAAAAAAAAGAAAGAATAACATATAAGAGAGAAAGGAATTGAAGGAAAGAATTGTATGAAAGAGAAAAATAAAATTAAAAGAGGAAAGAAAAAAAAGAACTAAGTGAAAGAGAAAAGTGATAAAAGAAAGAAATGAAATAGAAAATAAAAGGAAAAGAAAGCATTAAAAAGCAATAACAGAAGGAAAAAAGAAAAAGAGAAAAAGGAAAATGAAATTTAAAAATAAAAGGAAAATGAAAGCAATATTTTTTTTTATTTGTAAATGAAAAATGCAGGTTAAAAGAAGACAGTAAAAAATTTAATGACTGATCTGTTGTGTGACAAAAATGATCAAAGTATTTTCACTTTCTTCAGAAGTTTTTTTTTATCTTGAATTTAAGAAGAGATTTTCTTGTTAATGTTAGGTGTAGATACATATTTGTTATTTCTTTTCGATATGTACAGCATGCTTCTCATAAAGTTTGATACTTAAGATTCTACATTTATGCAGATATCAATGCTGCTACTCAGCGTACTTGCCAATAATGTGCCCCTGGAAACAGATAAAAAAAAAATGAAGGAAAGAAAGAAAGAAAATAAAAAACACAAAAAGAAAGAAAAAGAGTACCAAGAATAAGAAGAAAATACAAAATCTTTAACAAATTTTCTTCTGATTCCAATAAACAACCAAAAGGAAACTTGTTATGATCATAGTTGGATAATTTTTATTGATATTAGTTTATTTGATTTATCGGCTGCTACTTACAGGGAAATTTCCCTTTTCATCTATCCCATTTATTCTTATCAACCACTATTATCTTTTATTAATGCCAACAAGTTTTAAGACACCCTATTATCAGTTCCAGCTGTCATTATCACTCATCAGAAAGCAATTTCAACAATTTTTATTTTGTGCGACAGTAAAATTTAATAAAGTTTTATACATCAATCACTGCATAGAAATGTACATGAAAAACACATTTACACTTTTATTCCTGCATAGATAATAGCCTCAAACAAAAGAGTTATAATATATATATGTCTGTCTCTTGTATGAGATTAAAAAAAATACTTATACATATATATATATATATATATATATATATATATATATATAAAATCATATTTCCTGAGCCTTGGGTATTTTGAGTCATTATTCTAATATGAAAAGTATTTTACAAAGCAAAATATATAAATAGTATATAAATGATTAATTAAATATAATGTGATATATATAATATATGAAACATTATATAAATATTAACATCTATATTATAATAATACAGTTTCTATTGATGCATATATTAAAATAACACATTAAAAACAGAGTAAGAGTTTTGTTAATGCAATGTGGTTGAACTACTTAGATTTGAAGAATAAAGCAATTTTCAGGCCAATTTGCAATTTAATAGTGGTGGATATGCATTCATGCATAACT